ACCAATTCAGCCGTCATGGCAAGCGACACAGTACGATAAACTCAGGCCCACCCATTCAGCGTTCATGGTGATCGACACAGTACGATAAACTCAGGTCCACCTGTTCAGCGTTCATGGCGAGCGACACAGTACGATAAACTCAGGTCCACCTGTTCAGCGTTCATGGCGAGCGACACAGTACGATAAAACAATAGTGCCTGACAGGTATATGTGTGCGTGGTTAGATCAGTCAGAGGAAATGTGCTGTTGGGAGGCAGATAGATTTTTCCTTTCTCTATGTTCATTAGCTCTTAGTAATGCCACAGGTCATTTAGAAACTGATAAAAAATATGTAGTTCAGTCTGTAGTGTGATTTTGTCACCAGGTAAATTGTTATGGGACTGGCCTGATTTTCTGTCATCCCACCCACGCTATGATTTCTGGCTCTGCTATCAAGTACAATTATAATCTCTATGGACACTAGAATCCACACAATTACCGTTATTTGTTTGCATTGTGATGAACATGGTGATGTTGGTAAATATGCTACATTGAACGGGAGATTAAAAACTTTGTTGGGAGAAAGTAAGAAATGAAAGAGGGAAAGAAATGAAAGTGAGCCAGAGAGTAATTTGAAGGGTAATGTGGAGAGTAATGTGGAGAGTAATGTGGAGAGCAATGTGGAGATGAGGCGGGGCCATCGTCTCCAGGACCCCGCCTCCCAGGCATGCACCTTAAAGACATGGAAGGCCTCAAACTGGATGCTGCGCCTCTTATCCTTCAGCATGTTCATCATCAGCTTGAGGTTCTCCACCTGGCTGATGTACTCCATCATGATGGCGAAATTGTGCCCATCTAGCAGTAGCTCTCCCAGGAGCTGCAGGGTTTCCAGAACATTCCAGAGCAACAATCTACAATAACGTCTACGAGAAATGCTTCTGAGTGTTACTGATGAAGCAGTTTATCTGTGCAAACCGCCCTTCACACAGATGTAATAATTAACCGGAAGCTCCTTACCTTTAAAGACTGACGTTTGGTGACATAATTATCCGAATGCAGTAGCTTGTCATACTCCGTGAACACCTGCAAAATGAATAAATACTATTCATGGTCTATTCATGCATAACTACATAATTAATTGAACATAGTACTTTATCAGGACTATATCAGTAACTGAAAAGACAAGAATCCATCCACCCATCTTCTGTAAAAAAAATGGGTCCCGTCACAGGGTACAATCACACACCAATCACTCACATACCATTCACACACCAGTCACTCACACACCAGTCACTCACACACACTAGTCACTCACACACCAGTCACACACACACACCAGTCACTCACACACCAGTCACTCACACACCAGTCACTCACACACCAGTCACACACACACACCGGTCACTCACACACCAGTCACACACACACACCGGTCACTCACACATCATTCACTCACACACCAGTCACTCACACATCACTCACACACACATCATTCACACATACACCATCACTCACACACCAGTCACTCACACACCAGTCACTCACACACCAGTCACACACACACCAGTCACACACACACCAGTCACACATACACCAGTCACTCACACACCAGTCACACACACACCAGTCACACATACACCATCACTCACGCACCAGTCACTCATACACACACCAGTCACTCACACAGGCCAGGAATGAAATCTCCCATATTAAGTCCTTGTTACTGGGTTAAAAGCAGCTCAGTATCATCTAAGGAAATCAATACTAATATGTAATATCTATTTGAAATAAAATGAAAAAAGACAAGATTCTTACTCTGTTATAATTTGTTTCCAAGAATTCAGCACACATTACTTTATGCCTGGTGAGAAGATCCTGAAAAGAAGGGCAACTCAAAGTGTAACCTCAATTACATATTACACGAAATCGGTATTTTATTAAATATACTGTTAAGTAATATTTGACTTTATAATTATTCAGCTAATATGCTTATGTTAAAAAAGACAATAAGCAATTGATAATCAATTTATCAAACTAGCTAAGCAGCATTTTTTAGGAATCACAGCAAGTCAAAATCCTCTAAGAAATACACAAAGGATGACTGATTGGCATGTAGCGCTATATTATATGGCTAAAAGCATGTGGACACCAGCTGGTCCAGGATCTCATTGAGGGACCAAAGGTGGCTGAACATAACCTGTCTGACTGCACTGTGCCCACTGTCGTTTGGTGGAGGAGGGATAATGCCATGGGGCTGTTTTTCAGGGGTTTGGCTATAGGCCCCTAGTTCCAGTGAAGGGAACTCTTACTGCTTCAACATACCAAGACATTTTGGACAATTCTATGCTTCAGATTTTGTGGGAACAGTTTGGGGGAGGCCCTTCTCTGTTCCAGCATGACTGTGTGCAAAGCAAGGTCCATAAAGATGTGGTTGGGTGAGTCTGGTGTGGAGGAACTTGACCGGCCCACACAGAGCCCTGACCTCAACCCCATCAAACACCTATGGGATGAATTAGAACAGAGACTGTGAGCCAGGCCTTCACCTCCAACATCAGTGCCTGACCTCACAAATGCTCTTCTGGCTGAATGGGCCAAAATTCCCACAGACACACCCCATAATCCTGTGGAAAGCCTCCCCAGAAGAGTGGCAGTTGTTATAGCTGCAAAGGGGGGGGGCAATACTTTTGTCCATATAGTGGAAAGATGTTGGAGCTGGTTAACCAATGACGTGTAAAAAAAAACTGAGAAGGCGGCCTGCTTCTACACGTGACCTCACACCACCGAAGTTCAGCTGTTTATTGCAGGCCGCCGACACCCAAACAAATGAGGGAGAGAGGCAGGCCTCACGAAACACCCGGCCAGCACGGAGGAGGCTGGGTCTGTGACTTGGAGTCCACAAGGCAAAGTGAGTGACAATCTCCGGACAATAATATTATAAAGATTTTATTTGTCTATAAATTAACACTGGGGGCGGCATGGGACTCGGAGAGTTAGGGCTCTCTGCCCATGATTGGAGGCCCCCCAGGTCGAATCCCATGACTGATAGCACCACCGGGGGCCTAATCAATAATTAACACCCTCCCCCCAATTGCTCCAGGCTGGCTGACCCCCAAGTTTGCTCTTACTTGTATATGGGGTGGGTAAAAAACTTCCCTACTGGGGGGTGAATACAGTCTCACTATTCTGTTCTGTATGAGCTGAGGGTAATTAAAAAAAAACAAATTTATAAAAACATATGAGACTGGAATAGCAATAATGACTTTAGAATTGCGTGCGGCAGAACCGCAGAGCGAGGCGGCCGGCCGCACCGCACCTTGAAGGAGGCGAAGGCGTCGGACGCCACGTCGAAGACGGACAGCGCCACATAGTGGAAGAAGCAGTAGAAGTCCTCAGAGAAGAGGACGATGCGCGCCAGCGGCTCATGGCGCAGGCACTCGCGCAGCATGGCCCCGCAGCTCTGCGCCGCCTCCGCGCTCTCGTACCTGCGGCCAGCGGGGAGGCGTGTCAGCGTGTGACAGATGGAAAGGGGATCGGGCGGAGGCGGGAGTGCGGGGCTCACCCTCTCAGCAGCATGAAGACGATCTGAGGGTGTGCGGAGATGTACTCCACGGTGGGGGATCGGGCCCCAATCTGCCTCCGCACGGCCCCATTGAACAGCTGCACCGTGTCCTTCTTCCCCTGGCATTGGGAGAATTGTAAGTGTCACATCGGCAGGTTTTAGCCACCAGGGGGCCTCCTAGCGCCCAGATTCACATGGGATACCACTAGCAGACATACTGCAGGTTTAATGTTGCTGTGACCCCCCCCCCCGCTTCCCACCCCCCCACCTCAAAGTCTATCCTTTGCAGGTTGCCGATGAGGGAGACGAACAGGTTGGTGCTGTAGAGCTCCTGGGCCAGCTGGGCCACGGCCTCCATCTGCGGCTCCTTCTCCGCAGTTCCGCACAGCGCCTCCTTCAGGGAGGCCAGGCTCTTGGAGATCTCCTCCGCCAGCTGGTGGAGACGTGGCCGGGAGACAAGATGCGGGGAAATAAACATTAGAGCAGGAAGGCCAAGGCGAACAGCCAGTGAGTGAGCAGGATGGGCTCCCAGTGACCAGCTGGCAGGGGCCCATAATACAGCCCCAGTTCCAAAGACGCTGCCACTGTATGGAAAATGCCAGTGTAAACAAAAAGGAGTGATTTGTAAATTTACTTTGACTTGTATTCAAACAAAATCAGTACGAAGAAGGTATTTCATGTTTCACCTAATCATTTGTTATTTGAAGATGTGAAAATTGTGGAAACGCACAATTAGAGATTGCAGAACTTTCTTCCAGCTACTTTAGTTACATATTTAATCGCCAAATGTATGGTGTTTGTAAACATTCTTTGATCATTTATAAACATTACTGCCAATATTCGTGTAGTAAATATTAAAAGCGCGATGCCAAAAATGTTAGGTGCGTCCACAATTTTGGCCACTGGTATACGTTTATTCTGAGACTGATGCCTGAAGTTGGTGCAGGAAAGTTGAGACGGGGCAGTTTACGGCTAATAAAAATGCGAAAGGTTGAACTATGTGGGACTGGTGCGCCAATGGTTAGGGACATGCACTTGTAATTGAAAGATTACTGGTTTGAATCCCCAACCAGCGAGGTACCCTGAACAAGGTACTGCCACCGAGCACTGCACCCTGGGGGCTGAATTAGCTACCCACAGCTACGTCACATATGGGGTAAATGCAGAGGACACATTCTGTCATTATATAGGACAATAGTAGTGCAGAGTCCTGCCCATGTGTGAGTACCGTAAATGCTGGGAGGGAGCTGCAAGACCAGGACAGCAGTGGAGGATTAGCATCCAGCTAGCATGGTGACACACATGCTAAAGGCCAGTGGCCCTAAACAAACATGGCTCTGAACGCAGCTATATTGGACACGCAAATGCAATGAGGTTCCCCTATCGCCGATCAAGCAAAAGCATCCATAACGCTCTCGGTGACATCCCAAGCGGAACGCGGCCGGCTCCAGACCCGCGACTGGCCTTATCTCCCTTCTTGCTCTCGGACGCCTCCAGTTCTTCCAGCTGACACAGGTTCTCCTTCAAGCTCCTGACCAGCTCTGCCGGGGTCTTCTGGGATTTGCCGAAGGGGAACGGCATGGCGAGAAGGGCGAGTCTGCTGGCCTGGAAACAAACATCTACCGATACGTAAGAAGCTAACAGCATATTAGCATTTGCGAAAATGCACAGGTCGCTTTCAGGAATCGCATTGATGCCGCCGCCCATCAGAGGCAGGAGTGCATGAACGGTGCCGAGGCGTCCAAAGAGAGGTTTCTGACAACATCACACCTTATCATGCTGGAGGAGTGCAGCAAAGGCGGGATTCATTACCAAACCGAAATAAATACACGCTGGTCAAAGAGACCAACTTCAATGTAAAATGAAGCAGTGGCACTTTCAGGGTGATTCGCCTTCAGCTACCATTTCATCCACAAAGCTGAACTTTCGTACAAAGCTGCCGGGGCAGGCAGGGGTGTCTCAGTGAGTCACTCACTCTAATCCAGTGCACCACTTCCTGACCACAACCAGAGCCCAAATGCAGCTTAAGCTATCTCTACAGCCTGCGATAGATCCACATGAATATTTACTAACCCTATGTTGGTCTTACTTGTAGATGCACAATAATAAAGATACAATTACAAAGGCCATTTTGTGTCAAAACTAAAGAGATCCACCATGTATTTTGAAAGAATAACAATCCAATAGTAGTAATAATCATCATCATCATCATCATAATAAGCATGCATTTTAATTGCAATCTTCAAATTTCCTATAGTGTTTCACAAAGCATGTACTAGGCTAAGTGTCGAGTGAGTGATCAGTAACAGCTGAAAGGATTGTGGGAACGAGAACCATGCAAACGCTACTCAGAAGCTAACATCAGGATCGCCGTTCAAGCGTCGCTAATACAGGCTCCGCCCCCCGAGCGTGACAGGGACATGCGGTTTCAAGATGCAATTCAGCTTCCCCAATTTATTGACACTAGAACTGGAACAGCTATTAAAAATGGCTTTTGGCTTTGCCAGGAAGCAGTACTGCAGCTGAACTAATCAGGAAGTCCACAGGGGTTTGAGGTGCTAAGATACAAACCAGTACGGCAGTGCTGCAGTGCATGTGACATTTATTTCCATTGATGACATTATCATTTTCCATTTACACTCAGTGGCTGCTTTCTACACGCCTGTTTGTTACGGCAAACAGTGAGTAGTGCTCAGCTAGGCCGACTGCATATGATCGATGTGATCTTAAACCTGGTGTGATTGTTGGTATCGGTCATGGTAGTTCCAGTATCTCAGCAACAGCTGTCCTCCTGGGATTTGTACACATTACAGTGTCTGGAGTTTACAGAGAACGGTGTGTTTAACAAAAAAAAAATATCCAGTTAGGAGGAGTTTTGATGCCAAAAACACCTTATTACTGGGAAATGTCAGAGGAGTAGAGCCGGACTCCTTTAAGCTAACAAGAAGGACCAAGTGCAAAAATAACAGCACAATACATCAGTGGAGTGTAGACAGGGGCAGACTAACTTCTCTGGGGGCTCTAGGCTGGCATGGGGGGGGCTAAGTGGGCCATTGGAGATATTTTTGGAGCCGATAGAGAAACCAGAGGAAATTAAAAACAATGCAACAATAATCAATAATGTGTTAATCAGAGTGTGGGAGGCCAGTGTAACACTTACCGATCAGGGTGGGGGCTGGAGTGCTGTTGCTGAAATTTGCTTACTGGGGACGGTGGATGTGGCGCTGGAGGATATGGGAAGTTTAATCATTTTACATATGCTCCTTTAATCGTGTTCTCTCCACGTCTGTTCACAATTTGTCTAGCGCACTAGTGGGATGGTATCAAATACACGGGTGATGTAACATTAGTTTGGTAACTTTACGTCATTTTCTTCTGCATTTTCTGTGTCGGTTCGCTTGCCAGTGAACAGCCGGTAGATGCTGCGGTGAAAGTAAGTTGGATAGCGCAAAGTCTCAAAGTAGAATAATCTATTACAGCCGGGACGGGGGCAACTTTACCTATCATGAGAACTGTCGCTAAAAATGCAAATAACAAACATGTTGCTATCGTTTAAATGATCGTATTAGGATATATCCTTAAACGTAACTTCTGGAAATTCTGTCTTCATAGGGGGCCCGTGCGGCTCCCTACCTCCGCCTTATGCGAAGTCCGCCCCTGGGTGCTGAAAGGTTTCTCAGACAGCACTGTCCTGGGGGGGGGGCTGCCTGATACCAGCAGGGTGCCAAATAAAGTGGCCGCATTTTTGTGACCTGGCATCATTGACAGCATCCGGAGATGCAAATATTTATTTCTGTGAAGCGTACATGTCGATTAAGATCGATACCAAAAAGGTTTCGCCGTGCGAACTTCATATCCTCACACTGATAACGACAAACGCCCGCCAGATTGATAAATTATAAAGTGTCCAAGTGACGTAAATCGCGTGTCGACATCGAGATGGCCGCTTGATGTTAACTTTAACCAGAAATCTTCTGTAGCCTATATTAAAAGTTCAGTCGCTAAAGACGGTAGGTAATACAGATTTAGCATAAATACAGAGAAAATGACACATCGTATATTACATTCCCCACGGACCCCACCGGCCGCAAAGATCTGAGACATGTACGACTAACCTAACATCCGCTGTTAATACATGAAGGAAAATGAGACTATTAGAAATTATAGTCCGTACGGATACCAGGTAAAAGTAGAATAGCCTATATTTACGATAATGAAGTTAAATATAGTTCATTAACCTAATTACGGAAATAATTCCAGGCCAGAAAATACACGACATTTTGAAAAGTAGGCTAGATCTCTGTGATGGTGCATAAAGTTTGACCCGATAAACTCACCTGCCAGCACAGAGACAGCAATCGGACACCGCGCTTTACACACGCTGCCGCTTTGCGGAGCACCAGTCTACTCCATCCGGCCGAACCGGCTGTCTCTCTTACTTGTTCATCCCTCTTTACATTCTCCTTTACCGAGACGGGCGGGTTGTTTGACGTTTCGCGGACTCAGTGGTAGCCTGGGGCGTGGAAAACACGGCACCGTCGCCGCCCACTGCTGAGTCCTTCTGACTTCAGAGCATCACCAGAAAAAAGAACAAGCACAACAGAAACCCAGACTGCATCATAATGTATCGAATGTAATGTGATTCAAATGATTTCATACAAGTATACCGAGTAGATGGCTGTCCTGTTGCAAAGCTAGGACAACTGAGTGACTTAATTGATTTCTGCAAAACGATCATGCTACTGCACCATGCAGTTCAGGTAAAACAGAACTAAAAATGTACACCATGCTAGTGTTTCAGTTCAGAAAACAGAAAATCTGATATTTGTTTCACTTTTATTGAACAAATGGTGTGTTGGGCAATAGATCGGTATAAGAAATCAAGATTCAAATGACTTACTTATGTTATTAGCTTGACAGTTAATACATGGAAAGAGCTTTTTGAATCTATGTCTGGTCGTCTTCAAGACACATTTTATACCATCTATAGCTGAAGGTGAGATTCCTCATGCGGTGGGTACTATAGCACGTGATGTCATTTCCTGCTCAAATGTCAGATTATATGTTTACGAGATAATCGAGAGTTGATAAGAAGATATAAGGGACTGACCATTTCTTACAAAAATGTGTTTTTTAGATTAATTAAATCTGTTTTTCAGATGAGTTGCATGGCCTGGAGGCCAGATGGAGCAGGTAATCGAGGTTTACTGGAGACATCAGACTGGAGCTCCTGTAAGGTGGATCCGAGTCACACCTCCAGAAAAGCATCTCTGTAAACGAAGTCAGAGACAATGAGCCCGAGCAGACCGGCATTCACGCCCTCATCAGAGCTGTGTGCGGACCCCGAGGACCTGCTGGTGCAGACCTGTGGTGAGGGATCCTGACCAGCAGAGGCAGAAGGTCTTTAGGGTAATCTGTACATGTAGGTCCCCTGAGAGCGGAAAGGAGCTACAGCCTTCCAACATCACCCTGACCAGGGTGAGAATTAAGATGCATAGCTTCTTAGTTAGATTGCAAACTCCTATAAAGGGGGAAATAAAACTCGTATTTTCAACAAAGAAACAAATAAATAATTCGGCAGACAATTACTTCCATAAAATTTAACTAACCATTAAATGTTTTGTTATTATTCATGTCGTGGAAATATTATTATTATTATTATTATTATTACAATACAGCCAAGAAATGACAAAGTTAAAATACGGTTAACCGGTATTATCATTATTATTATTATTATTATTATTATTATTATTATTATTCATACTAAGGCGTTGTTACCTAGACATTGAAAGACGCCATATGAGCTCTTTGCGGACTTCGTCCGTATAAGGCTATTTCCTCTATTTCGCTTGTTAAGTACGAAAAGGAAGGAAGGAGTCTAAATGCTAATAAACTGGGCTGGAGGGCGGTAATATACGGCTCTCCGCGTTTCCTAGTGGCGATCTGCGGAAGCGGGGCGGTGCGAATGAGCGCCGACCAGCCCCTCGCCTCAGTCTCCAAAGCGGACATGATCCGCCCCGACGATTCGATCTCGGATCGGCCTGATCGTCTGTTCCGTGATCGTTCGGGGTACAGGGCCTGATTCTGGATCAGTCACCGGAGGGGGGCGGGAGCGAGCGCGCTCTGAGTGCCACATGCAGCTTGTCGCTGAACTCTCACCCCGCCTGGTCCCCTAGCAGGCCGGCTGAAGGACTCCTGTGAAACGGCTCCGATCCTGGACCGCGGCATGGCCAGCTCCAGCGATTGCGTGGTGGTGAGTCTGGCATCGCGGCTGGAGGCCGATCTCTCCAGTTTCATTTGTGTTATTTTAGAGAAATGACGGAGCTCACTATGAGGCTACAGCTTCTCCGGCTAGCAGACCCGTTAAGGGGTGTTTACAGCCGTCGTCTCACGCCTGGACGGACCGGCTCCGTAGTGCTGCGCTCCCGCTCTTTGCTGGAGTCGCGGTCGCCGCTGTGCGTTCGCCGCTGTATTATGCGGAGCCGCGCTCTTTACGCTCCGATGTCCGCTGGTTTGCACGGTAAGCTGCAGGTCACCGCCTGCTGCAATCCTGTACACAGAGCTCTCGTTGTTTTTGCGGGACCGACGTAGATACAGAACCGCGGCTTTTCAAATGAGATGGTTAACGGTTAATTGGTTAGCGGGTCCTTTTACTAGCTGCGCGAGCTGCCTTGCTAGTTTCGTGCAGCCAGTTCACCATTTAAGGCACATGTGACTCGGTGACGATAAGAGGCTTACGGGAACTGTGAAGGGGGTTAGATGGAAAGCTGACATAACGCACGTGGCCCCAGGGGACAGTACTGACATGGACAGGCGTGATGCAGTCCGTGTTTTTGGGGGAAAACATCGTTACTTAGAATGCATGTCAAATACAGCTTCATCAAGGATGAGAAATAAACTACAAACCTACCTTAATGACACCGTCAAAATGATGACAATGACCTTGTAAGTTAATTTGTAATTTGTAGAGAAATTCATAGCCATGTGGCCGTAGGGGATTTTAGATAGGAACAATCCACAGTTATAATTAGATCTCATTTTTAATCAGACTGGGCAGTGACTGGCACTGGAGTCGAGTAATTATACCCAAGCTTCAGGTCGCGTTTTTAGACTCAGGCTATACAATTGAATAAGAAACTATACAGAGATACAGTAAAACGCATAACGATAGTATTCCTATCAGTTACTACGCTGAGTGCATGCGATATAGATCAATTTAATATGTATTGAGGTATCCCTACACATTTAAAGTTTTTCTTTTCCTTCAGAAATTACTCTATTCTGTTCTAAACATCTAGTCTTATTCTCTGCATAAGTGAAATTGATCACAGTATTTTAACTTGAAAAAATACAACAGCCTAAAATGCATCAATAGTAACGTGCTGGGTGTATTGATATGTGACAGTTTTATCGTTTTTTTGGAATCGATACTGCGGTATCGTAGACATCTGGATCTATTAAAATTGTTTTTTCATCACATCCCTAGTTTTTGGACACAATTACTAAAGCACCGTGACAGAAGTCTGACGTTGATGTCCTGCTTGGGACTTCTGAAGTTTTACTTTCTGTTCTGGGCATTTTGAGTTTAACTTTCAACTTACACAGAACTTCTGGTGCTCCCGCTAACATGATGTGATCACGCTGCTTTCAGCTAATTTGCATACTGGGAGCACAGATACAAACTAAGCCTTTGTGTTTGGGGAGTGTTTGCTGTGTGTGTGTGTGTGTGTGGGGGGGGGGGTGTTTGATCATGTTATTTGAATTGTTGTATACAGCAAACACCTTACCATTCCTAAAACAAGCCCAAACTTTGGCCTGGTCGGTACCGTGGCCAATCTGGTAGCTTAAACATGCACCCGAGTCGTTACTGTTGGGTAATACTTGTCCTGCTGAAAGATTACCGTGTCCATTCCTTCAAATAAACCGGTAAACATTAACCAGGTGATAATAAAATACGGCAATGTTATTTAAATCATTCTGCTTAAGCTGAATTAGGCCAATGTTCCTGGGAATAAGGTTTGGATTGGCTGGCATTTTCGGGCATGTGGGGGCCTGGGCCCCACAATCAGCTACAGGATTAGGGTAGAATCGCAACTGGCGTGTGTGTGTGTGTGTGTGTCTCTGTGGGGGGGGAGCAGCTGTCCAGAGTGGGATATCGCTGGATTTTCCAGCTGCTTTGCACTGTGGAATGGCCAGCGTTCCCAACAGAAGCATCCAGTGGCTGAACTCCGTGGGCAGAGCCCTACACTGGCGAGGCGCCTCCCGCCTCCCGCCACGGCACGTGGGCGTGCTCGCGTGCCCCTGGAGGGTGTCAGGCGCGAGGCCAGAGCTGGGACTTCAGCGGGAAATTCAATTCAGAGAAGGACAGCATTTAAAATGGGCATCTGAATTGCTGTCTTTGCAGATTACGTACGGTTATTGAGTGTATTTGTGTTAGTGCTGACAAGGCTGAGTCAGCGGAACAGTGGATTTTTTTTTCCTTGAAAGTGAAGGAAGGAAGGTCCTAGAAGAATGGAGCTGCTTTCGCCGTCCTTCCTCTTTTAATCAGCGTGAATTCTGCATGTCGTCCCGTCAGGGCTGTTTATCATACTGATTGTTTGCTGTGTATTCCTGTACGTCTCCTCTTTAGTATGGTGGGGAGAATCTCCGCCTTTCATGTAAGAGTCATAAAAAAAAATTGTTTGGGTGGGGTGCTCTGTAGGATCGGACTCAGAAGTTTGCTGGTTCCCAGTCCCTGGGTCGGCAGAGTGATCCCACCATTGGGCCCCTGAATGAGGCCCTTAACCCCAATTCCTCCAGAGACTGGCTGATCCTGTCTCCCGTATACCAGTTTCATGAGGTGGCCTCCTGGGATGCTTTTCCAGCTGCCCTGAAGGAGGTCCTACAAATGCTGAGCTCTCATTGGCCGCTTTTCCTTCACTCTCTGGTCAAACTCCTCTAAAACTCCTCTCTGTTGTGTTTAGGTCAGGTGGCCAGGTCATGTGATGCGACACTATCACTCTCCTTTGTAGGCGGCTTTGCTGTGTCCGAACCTTTGACTGGTGCTGTTTGTGGAAGTGTATGTGTGCATTCATGAATGTTTTGTTTATGTGGTGCCTGTATCAATGTTTGTATGTATGTTTGTGTTAGAGTTAAAAAAAAAAAAAAAATTAAATGACAAAAATAACCCATAATGTTTGTGTTTTCCCTGGTGAAATGACCCGTCATGATTAACCTTTCCCTTCCCTGTCCCCTTCCCTCTTCCCTTCCTTTCCCTGTCCCCTTCCCTCTTCCCTTCCTTTCCCTGTCCCCTTCCCCTCCCTGTCCCCTTCCCCTCCCTGTCCCCTTCCCTCTTCCCCTCCCTGTCCCCTTCCCTCTTCCCCTCCCTGTCCCCTTCCCCTCCCTGTCCCCTTCCC